TGCAGGCCATTCCAACTGTTCTGTGTAGTATTATTTATTATAATTTTTTAAACTTTAGTTACTTTAACTACTTACTTTTTTATTTCTAGAAAATTATTTTTCGGGAATACACCTTCACTATTTTTTTCCACAGTGAATCGGAATCATTCCGTTGTTTTAGAGAAGTTTTTCGTTTTGAATTCCTTGTGCTACCAATTCTTGTTATTCTCTCTACTGCTTTAAGTGTCTCTGTGTAGATGTACTCGTACTTCAGAAGAGAGAAGGCGGTGGAAGGAGCAGAGGGTGCTTCGAATCCAACGCTGCTCCGTGCGTCGTTGAGCGTGATTCTGCTGCAGCGACTTCATCCCCACAATTAGGCAGAATGGCGCAGCGAACGCTGTGCAGTGGCTAGTGCCTCTTTCAGCGAACAACCAGTCATTCATTGTTTGCGAAGAGAGTAAACTCTGACACGATGATCGAGAGTCGCTCGGCGCAACGGAAGAGAATGAACCCCATGCGCGCAGAGCCCATCCCCCGCGTTGCCCCTTCCTCCGAGCGGTCGGGTACGGGTATCGCGTTTTGCAGCTTCTGTTGCAAGAGAACAATATCCATTAGGAAGTTTTAGCGCCAGGCGTGAGGAGATATCCTTAAACTCTATTGATCACGTGACTAACGCCTTCATACGATCGTAATGAACAACGTTCATAAGAGTTTTAGCAATTGCGACATTGCGTTATGCATTATAACAAAGGAAGCATTTCAAGCGTTGAACAGAGAAATTGCATAATATATCAAAGAGTGTAGGTTAGTGGTGAGACATTTAAAACACGTAACGTGTCAACAGATTAGCAAATACACATTGTGCATGGAGTTTTAGATTTTGAATCTGCTTTTCTTGAAAATATAGGAAGTACCTTAAAACAGAGTTCGTTATGAGCATAAGACATAACCTATCCCGAAGATATGATTTGAACTTCTTTTTCGCGAATTTCTTTCCTGTCACCTCTCCAACATATCCTTTTAATTTTTGCCAGCGTTGTGGAGTTCGTAAAGAATAATTGTAAGTGCCTTACATACGATAATTGGTTTATTAGAGTTGGAAAAACAACTTTTCCTGTTTTTAGGCGACCATTTTGCCGCTTGTAAGGTGACTGTAGAGACTTCCACAGGTGTGCACTATTTATGAAGGTATAAGGTCGTACCTTAGGCCTAAGGTAAGACGTTATGACTTCAAGGTATGTCACGTGACTGTTAGTGCATAACGCTGCTACCTTACGCGTGGCGCTAAAACTCCCTAATAATACGTATGTAAATGCAATACTTTCATAATTATTATATGCCATTTGTATCCTCCATGCAGTACTACCTAGTAATAATTAGTTCGAAATTCTTAACATAACTGATCCTCGGACTATTATCATCCTGCGATAGGATTTGGAGTGAAATCCTCATAAAATGGAAGTTAACACTTGGTGTCGTGATGTAGAAATAAAAAAATATTCTCCATGTACCCGATGATATCTAATAAATTAGTTTCGTAACCAGGCTGTTTGGGTAGCCCTGAATGAGAGACGAGAGGATAATGGACCCCCCCGGACATTAGTTATTTTTTAATAAATATATAACATGTTTTATTAAACTGCATTAATGTACATTAAATATCCGTACAGTGTAATTTACATAATTAAAATGACAAGATGAAAGTTAAATTTGCTTAATTAGGCTCTCAAATTTGATTTTCCATTAAGTTCCTACGCTCGTGATGCCACGCATTTGTGAGTTATTTCATGAGTCCAAAAATGTGCTCGCTTTTAAGACAATTATTCTAATTTGCCTAAGGGAAAAGACGGTTTTATGAACTACTACATTTACTTGTTATAGCTTTGTAATGTAGTGTATATAGCAAGTAGTATCGTATGTTAATGTACTTGAAGTCGCAAATAATGTTAGACATTGATTCGAATACAAATACATAAATACTTAAAATTAATCTCCAGTTAATTTCAGATTGATTGAATTCATTTTTTTAAATTTTTTTGACAACGCTTTCTTAAATTTTATTATTTCAGGCAATGTCCTGTGTTTGGGAAATTATAGATAAAGCAACGAGTTAATTTCTCTGAGAATATTCAAAGAACTTGTCACATAGTTAGCAAAAATGTAAACATGGAGAATGTACAAGACAATTAAAATAAACCCTATAATTAATCATAATATTTGATCGATAAACAATACGTACTGATGTGGAAGTCGCTAGTGACCATTGGCGAGAATACTATATTTCAGGTTCAGATGGTTCAGAGGTTCAGATGGTGACCTTAATAGATTAATTATAGTTCAAAACTATATTGCCAGAAATTTCAATAATAAACAATAAATGCCACTAAAATTCACTTGACAGTTAGAACTCGCACATCTACAAATTTAATGAAGATTGATCACATTCAATATTCTTCACTGACGTATATGTTAATATTACTTACCTCCAAAGGCCTGTAATTTTTGTAAATGTCAATTCGTTAAAGTTGTCAGGCAGAAGAGGAGGCTTTATGGCTTGAGCTTTGTCACAAATAATGACTATTTATTGTTATTATTATTATTATTATTATTATTATTATTATTATTATTATTATTATTATTATTATTATTGATCTAATTGGCTATTAAATATGTGTCGAGTCGGTTGATTATAAAGTCAACTCCACGTTGCAACCTGCTTCCTAATGAGCAGATCTAGGGACTATCGATGTCTCTACAGCACCGCAAAAGTGTGGGCTGTTACAAACAAAGCAATGTCTTGCACTTTCCAGTCTTTCGAATGACCTAGGAGTTTTGACAAGTTCTTACGCGTATCTTTCGAAACAAATACCAGAGCTCCGATAGCTCTCGGAATGATCTGTTCCCCACATTCGGTTGGTCTCGATCGTTGTTATGACGTCTGGATCGCATGGAATGGCAACGTCCACAAATAGGCACGATTTCCTCCCCACGTCCCCGATGACAAAATCTGGTTTATTTGCCGCTATAGTGCGATCACTTTGAAATTGTTGCTAGAACAATCTTGTTCAGAGACCAACAGACGCCACTGGTTTTGGTGAGTGTACGTACCACTTGGAGCATGTGTTGGGGACTTCAAAGGCGATACAGATTTGCCAATGGAGAGTAACTTTCGTGTCTTTTCAAGTATTCGGCCTTTGCTAGAATTGGACATGCTGAGACATGATCGATGGTTTCTACTTGCTCTTGTCAAGTAGAGCGTTTATTATCTTGGGACATTTTGAGGTCCGCTTTGTCATAATGTCCTATTCTCAACGCCCGATCTTAGGCAACTATTACAACTGTTTCCGATTCTGACTCCATTCTTCCCCTCTTATGCTACCTTCTTTATTGATATGCTCTTTGTTCATTCTTATTAAATGTCCATGAAGTGGTTTATCTCGCCACCATTTTTTTTATAGAATTTCGTGTATTGTACTTCTTATTTTTCTGCTTTGTCTTCTTTCTCTTCTTCCTTTTCTTTTCCTTCTTCTTCCCCTTCTTCCTCCTCCTCCTCTTCTTCTTCTTCTTCTTCTTCTTCTTCTTCTTCTTCTCCTTCTTCTTCTTCTTCTATCTCCTTCTTCCTTCTTTGCCCTTATCTTCTTCTTCCTCCTCCTCCTCCTCCTCCTCTCTTCCTCCTCCTCCTCTCCTCCTCTCCTCCTCCTCCTCTCTCCTCCTCCTCTCCTCCTCCTCCCTCCTCCCTCCTCTCCTCCTCCTCCTCCTCCTCCTCCTCCTCCTCCTCCTCCTCCTCCTCCTCTCTCCTCCTCTCCTCTCTCTCCTCCTCCTTCCCTCCTCCTCCTCCTCTCCTCCTCCTCCTCCTCCTCCTCCTTCCTCCTCCTCCTCCTCCTCCTCCTCCTCCTCCTCCTCCTCCTCCTCCTCCTCCGCCTCTCCTCCTCCTCCTCCTCCTCTCCTCCTCCTCCTCCTCCTTCCTCCTCCTTCCTTCCTCCTCCTCCTCTCCTCCTCCTCCTCCTCCTCCTGCCTCCTCCTCTCCTCCTCCTCACTCCTCCTCCTCCTCCTCCTCCTCCTCTCTCTCCTCCCTTCTCCTCCTCCTCTCTCCTCTCCTCTCCTTCCTCTTTCCTCCTCCTCCTCCTCCTCCTCCTCTCCTCCTCTCTCTCCTCCTCCTCCTCCTCCTCTCCTCCTCCTGCCTCCTCTCTCCTCCTCCTCTCCTTCCTCCTCCTCCTCCTCCTCCTACCTCCTCCTCCTCCTCCTACCTCTGCCTGCCTCCTCCTCCTCCTCACTCCTCTCCTCATCCTCATCCCATCTCATCCCCAATTCATCCCCAATCTTTCTATTCCTCATACCTCATTCCTCAATCTCTCCTCAATCTCATTCCTCATCATCTCATCTCATCCTCAATTCCATCCTCAATCTCATCCTCACCATCCTAAACTCATCCTCACCTATCCTCATCCTCATCCTCATCCATCATCTCAATCTCTCCTCCTCAATCCTTCCTCACCTCATCCTCATCCTTCGCATCTATATCCATCCTCAATCTCATCATCCTCATCCTCATCCTCATCCCCTCCTCTCAATTCTCCTCATCCTCATCCTCATCCTCATCCCATCTCATGTCACTGCTCCCTCATCCTCATCCTCCATCCTATCTCATCCTCATTCCTCATCTCTTCATCTCTTCATCCTCCATCCTATTCATCCTCATCTCACATCCTTCATCCTCACTCATCTCACTGTCCTCATTCCTCATCCTCATCCTCATCCTCATCCCTCCCTCCCCATCCTCATCCTCATTATCCTCATCCTCTCATCCTCATCCTCATCCGTTTGCCCTTCTCCATGAGGCGGTTGGCGGTGGCGGAGGTGTGCGCGCGGGCGCGCCGAGATGCAGGTGTGTCGCCGCGGCGGGCGGGCGCCGTGCTTCGCGGGTTGCGGTTGAGGTGCACCGCTGCGACAGCGCGAGACTGCGCAGGCCGGGGGGGCGAAGGGGGCGGGGGCGGCTGGCGCGCCGCCGCTCGGCAGTCGGTCGCTGGACGCGGCGACGGTCAGTGCGCGCTCGCGACGCTTGGGCTTGATCCTCGAAGCCAGGTGGCGGGCGACCGTGCGTGCCTCGTGAGTCGACTGTCGGCGGAGACGAGTGGAGAGTGATTGTGCGTACCTGAGGAGGCGAGCGGAGTGCAAGCGCACCGCGTGGTGTAGCGCGCCGAGGGCACCGCGGGCATGCAGCGTGCAGGGTCGGCGCGGAGGGCCGCGATGCTGGCGACGCTGCTGCTGATCAGCGCCACCGCACCAGGTAGGCCCTGGCCCTGCGCCCTGTGCTGCCCTGCGCTGCCCTTCGGCTCCCTCGCGCCGATCCCCCACACGTCGTTAGTGCGCAGACGGACGCAGAGGGGGCTTCGTGGTGGCAGAGCCCTGAGCACGGACTTCGCCTTGGGCGGCGAGGTCCCTCTCGGGTTAGGGCAGATGCTTTCCATCGCGTTCCGAGGTATCCGGCCACCAGCACCGTGGAGCCTTTTCGCGCGCGCGAGGGAGACGAAGAGGGTTTGGTAGTCGCAAGCTAATGGAGGGGGCTGGGGATCAACGACTGATCATAGCACAGTTTGTTCTCCTCTGTATTGTTTAGGTAAGAAGTGCTTGTTTCATCGTTCAGCACAATCTCTGTGTTGACTTTGAGTGCATTTAGACTGTTTACAAGCCAACTAGGAACTGCCGACAGGCGTAATCGCTTCGTGAAAATTCCAGCTTGGTGAACTTTAAAATTGTGCTGCTTTGAAAATAAGGAAGAAAAAAAGGAAAAAATAAAAAATAAATCGTCGCCATGTCTTGATGAAAATAGCAAAATAAAATGTTCAAAAATTTTCACTCCCTTCCATTAGATCTAAACTTGAAAATATTATAACACAAACTTACAGAAAATAATTGTAGTGTTGAATAGATTAATACATTCATTAGAAATAGAGATCATGGGATTTGATTGAAGTAAATAAAAACATTGAAACATTGAGTTTGCCAACGTTTTCAGTTTTAATTTACTCCGACTAAATCCCTTATTTCAATTTTCATGTCCTATAGAATGAACGTGAATCTACAGTGTATTATTAATATATAAAATGTTCCTTCAATTGTTTTGTAATTTGTTCTGGAGTACGCTGTGCTGATATTGAGGGCAGGGATGACTGTTAATACCCCCGGTAAAGTAATTTGTCAAGCGAAGCAGTGACCCTTTTGATGCCCTTGTACTCCATGCGGTTAACCGGCTTTCTGCTTGGGAATTACAACGCGCGGATCCCTTCATTTATCCCTTAAGTTATAAATAGTGTCACCTTTTCATTTATGCTTTATTTTTTTTACTCATAAAGTTCAAGGTTATTAGCGGCCAAGTTACTTGATTTTCAAGGTTCTTTTTCATAAATTGGTATTAATTTATTTTTTATAAACTTTTAAACACGTTAATTATTTCAGTACTGCCACCAGGCAATGTTTTAAAGTCATTAGAAAAAGCGTATTTGCTTAATAAATTATGACTTTGACAGTTTTATTTATAATTTCAAGAATCTACGCCATTCATACTCCTCCAATTGTACAATTGGACCTTCTTGTACAAAATCTTCTGCGGAGTGTTAATGAACTATCCACTGTCGTCGGTTATTATTTATTTCCTTTTCTTCCGGATACATGTTCACTTTCGTATACTGACATCAGTTATTACAGTATTGCATTGAAGTTTATTCATGACATTCGACAATGTATCTTCGAATATAATGGTTAGCCGTCATAATGTAATGTATAGTGTACATACTTTTGAGTACTAATGTATACGTATTCATGCATAGTCAAGCATGAACAAAATTTTTACCCAATAACAAAAGCATCCACACATTATTGCCCAGCTTTGGAGCTCATGCGGCGCACGCGACTCGGCGGCAGTCACGCGTGCACACCCCCTGCGTTGCAATAGAATTGCCTGTCGCGGTGCGTGAAAGGGATATTCGCCGCTTACGCCAGTGTTGGTCTCTTCTTCAATGTGAAAGCAGCACCCATACAGTGAAGCAATTGCTGCATAGAGGAATTATTATATGGATAACTGATTGGGAATAAAAATATTGGCATCTAGTAAGAAATGCTGCGCATCTGTTAGGTGGAATAATAAAAGCACTAATAATGACATTATTTCGGATTTCACAGCGCAGTTTGGACCTTGGCCTCGCTATGTTTCAAGGGAATTTGGCATTATTAGCAAGGAGAACAAGTCCAGGTGATATCATCTGCCTATTAGGTTGCTGGCCCTTGAAATTATTTATTGGAGGGGTTGTCTTGGGTCCAGGTTGAAACATCCGAGATGAAACTGTAAGACAAATGATGAACGTAGAGGGTAGAAGTTTGGAACAAAACGGCTAAATGGATATGGGCATCTCTAACGCATGGGCAACAATAGGTGACCAAGAAAGGTCTGAGTTTAGACATCTCCAGGACGGAAAAAGGGTGAAAGGGCATCAAGGAGTTGGAAAGAGGCTTCGAAGATGGAGACTGGAAAGGTCGGAAGAGATGGAAGCAGAGAAGCGAGATGCCAGAAACCGCCCTAGCTGTGAATAGCCCCGTGGTCTTATATACACGTACGAGCACATGAAACTAAACTAGAATTATAAAATCATGCGGTACATGCTATTGGACTTTTGATACCGATAAGGTATTAACATTTCGCCAAATTAGGTAGATTATAGGTCAACGTGGAGATGTTTGTCGTCGATTCATATGCTATATGTAATCTTCATTGTTTTTTGTTATCCTACTTCTGCAGGAAAGTTTGAATTTACGGTTTGGGTGCATCATTGTTAACATACAATTTAATTATTACAACATTCAACAGTTCTTTCTGCTACCGAGAATCTATAATTAAATTGAACAATAATCCAAATACAACCAAGAAGAAAAATGTGAATACAACAGCAATCCACAAAATGAAATAATAGCTTAATTAATTATTTTAAAACAGGCATTGCCGTTTTTAACTCTCTCTAAATTTACACTCAGAAAAAATTATAACTTAAAACAACATTAGCTCATTTGGAATAACCGTGTATGTATGACAAAATCGAAATGTTCATTTGGACTGATGGTGATCAAGCGAATGGAAGTATAATGAATAGTCGTCCACGTACCTGCAGCGAACCGAAAAACCTTTGTTTGAGCCGTTTTTCAATACTCGATTGTACTCGTACATAGCGTACAGGAATCTGTAGGCTGCGAAACAAATATATTTCTCAGTGTTTTGAAAATGTTTAGAGTATAAAATTTCTGTTTCCATGATGTGAATTTCAAAAGCAATTCATGTGATGATTATGAGTTTACTTTGGGGAAAGAGGGAGGGTAAGTGTAAGTCGATAAGGAGATCGCGGCTGACTTATTTAGCATCCGTAATCTTCGCTCATCCTAATTTCCCAAGGTTTCCTCTGATCAAAATGAACTACTCGCTCTGCGCTCTGCGATCTTGCTGCGCTAGACGACGATCGTAAGTTTGCTGTTATGAGAGTGATGTGAAGTTATGTAAGTTTGCGGCGTTGAATGAAACACTAGTAACTATTTTAAAATGTTGAGATGTTTGAAATTTATGACTTAATTTCATGCATCCCGCGATTTTATCTTGAATCCTGAAAACTTGAAGCAATGCAATAACTAGATCTTTTTCTCATCTTATTACGTATTGATTAAGGATATGCTACCAAACATGATTTTTTGGATGGAACGTCTCTAAGGGCAATAAGGGAAATTTAAAATAGATCAGGTCGCTATGAAATCGTAGGTGCTTTTGAAACGTCTTCATTGCGCGCAATTCTGTAGCTGAAGTGAGTGAGAGGTTCGGGAAACTGTAAATATCGAAATGCCAGGAAGGCTTCCACAAATCGATTTCGATCAGCAGATATCTTGATTTTTATGTGAGTGTGAATGCAAAATAAGGCTCGTTGGGTAGGATGATCGTTTTCAACCGCGCAGTCCCGGGTTCGATTCCCGGCCGGGGCAAATATTGATCGTGCGCTTTCTCTACAATGCCTCAGTATCTGTTGCTGTGTGACGATGAGAAAACGTTTTTCTCAGATTGAGAATACCAGAAATACAGCGTAGGGATGGCTGTGTGCAAACCGCGCGTACTTCTTAACCCGTGGCCGCAAGGCCGGGACGATACTGCTACGCCTGAGATCGTAAAAAGCTGTTGTACGTACATACATACATGAATACAAAATACAGTAAGTGTTTCTTTATAAGTTACAACAGTTTTTAGTAATAGTTTATAAGCGATATAACTTATGTTAAATGAGAAGTGACTCGCCAGCGAGACCATATTTTACGTATTGCCCATCGCTTCCTTTTACTCTAGAACAGTTTCAGAAAACAGTTATTCACATTTGAAAAATCTAATTTGTGAAACGGAGGTTTTTAAATTATAGACGTGTTTTTTATTAGTTATTAATGTGAAAGTATAATTTCCTTCCGCCAATTTTGACGGATTATCATATAAACACTTTTGCAGATCGAGGAAACACCGAATTTAGATAATGTGAAGCGAAAGTTGGCAAATTAATTTATTTAATTTTATGATAGCCTGGTAAATTCCCTCGTATAGTTTCTGTGCATTTGTAAAATGATAAAACAATTGAGTTAGACGCCTATTTTGTGGTGAAAACCTTCTCAATTGACCCAGCATGCAAAGACGTTTTATTGAAAAGAAATCGACTCCTTTTACAAGAGGAAGCCCCTTCTGGCTGAGCATCCTTCTTACATTGTAAGTACTATGTTAATTAGGTTAAATATGTTATTAATCGGCATCAAGTGTGGAGTCATTAAGTGTTCTCGACGTATCCCAAGAAATCCGCAGCAACTGGTTGTAGATGAATAAAAACTAATCAGGCAAAGAGGACACAATGAACAAGAAATTTAAGAGCCAAATTAATCTGCAGTTACATGTTCTGCGTGTAGCTTGTACGTACACCACAAGATTTAATATAAGTCGAATATCATCAAAATAAATTATTTTTCTAGAAATCCAGTAACATGTGTCCGTTCGTCCGTCTGTCCAAAATTGAGATTTAGACCCCTTCCGGTCCATAAATGGAGAGAAATGAGGTGTCGTTCGAGGAGTCTCGGCCCCCGATGAGGAACTGAATTTTGCTTTCGGAACCGTCCAGAAAATTCTAGAAAACGTGTTTTTTGTGGCTTTAAGCATCTAACACCCGTTTTGAGTGATTGACAGTGTCTACAGTAATGAGCAATAGGTAATTCGATTCCCGTCAACAAGGC